TAGTTTGATAGTTATATTTTTTAATGTTGATTTTTTTTTTTTTTTTTTGGTGTAATCACATATTTTTAACTTCATTGTATTTCTTAAAAAAAATGTTCATTTGATAAGCTTTCGTCAACAAAAGATGCAATATACTACAAAAGTTCAATTTATATCAATTTTTTAACCAAAAAAACTTATTTTTTTCATAAATTATAGTTGTTGAACTTAAATTATAAATACATAAAATTTCATATTTTTTTTATTTTTTTAAAAGTTTGAGGGTGATATAGATTCTAAGTTTTTAAAAACTTGATGATGCACATTTCGATATTTATATTTATAATAAATATATTTTTATATGAAATGAGTGTTTCGACTTAAATTATAAGTTCGTTAGTTAATATTTAAAATCGGGCCCCCCCGAAAGAAATTCCTAGATCCGTCACTGCGTATAATGTAAATAAAAATATATATGATATTTAACATTGTAATATTATATATTATATCTTTTTCGGTAAAGAAGTATAATAATTGACTAGTAGCTTAACAACATCACTTGCGTTTTTGGTCAACTAAGGGTGACCTCATTAAATTACTCAGAATTCAATGTGGATCTTATAATTCAACCGATTAAATTAACTTACTTACAATAGAATGTGTTGAGTCTTCTGACCAGAAAATTTCGTATAATATAATGAATAATAAAATATGTTTTAGTAAAAACTAAACGATTTATTATGGGTGTTTCAACTTTGTGCCCTTGGACAGAAACAAATTATAGAAGGACAATTAATTAAGTGAAGCTGCCTTTCCTTAGGGTGATTAGTAATAATTGATGTCATGCATTGAAACATATACTTCTATAATTATGTTTTTTGATGCTCTCTAATTAATAATTAGTCAGCCACGCAAATTGGATGTATCCTATTAATTTATCCAATCATCAAATTGAGTGTCAACAAGCACTAATTATGCATTTCAAAGTCCGCAAACCTACCAATTTGGTATTTTTCAAATAGCTAATATAATTATGAACTCTATTGAAGCTCATGAATGTCATTTTCATGTCGAGCATGACTCTAGGTCTCATTTTAGGTTTTACTATTGTGCAAATAAATAAATTAAGTAAACATGACTAGCTTTTAGATGAAGTCAAACCTAAAAAAAAATCATAATAATATACTAGATAAGTTAATAGTAAAAAGAAAAGATAAAAAAAAAAAGAAGGAAAAAAGAATGATATCAAAACTTGAAAAATTAGAATTGAGAAAAGCCTAAAAGGTCCAAAACAATTCATTTGAATATATTCTATCTTTGTATCAATAACATTGTTCATGCATAAATTAGATAAACAACTTCCATTAACTATCCTCAAACTTGATGTAGCTCTCCAAATAAGATCCTACATTTGTTTGTGTGAGAGAGAGAAAGAGATGACAGAACAAGAATGCTCATAATCATGAATTTGGATTCATGTTGTTGTCTTCAAAAAATGTTACAACACACTAAAGTAACCATCATCTTGCACTCATTATGCCTCCAAACCCTTTTTCTTCTTATTATTTTTTTTTTAATTTTTAACAAATTGTTGCCTCACAAGCATGCCCAATTGTCCCCATCCCCAATCACTTATATATAAGCTCACTCTCTTGTACAACTCAAATCACCTCTCCTTCACACTCGCTACACTCTCTAAAACAACTCATCCACACCAAATCCCATTTTCATCTTCTCGTCCAAAATTTTCCACAAATTCCAATCCCCCCCTCCAAAATTTACTAATCCCTATGGCAGCCTCGGGGTTCGAAGGGTTCGAGAAGAGGCTCGAGCTCCACTTCTCCGGCGACGACCCCGCCTCCGGCAAAGGCGGCCTTCGTCGTCTCGACTTCCCCTCTCTCGAGAAAGTATTGCACGCAGTGCAGTGCACCGTGGTCTCTGCAGTCGGCAATGCCCATTTCGACTCGTACGTCCTCTCTGAGTCGAGCCTCTTCGTGTACCCCACCAAAATTGTCATCAAGACATGTGGGACCACCCAACTCCTCAAGTCCGTCCGCCCGTTCATCGACCACGGCCTCTCGTTGGGCCTCACCCTCCTCGGGTGTAGGTACACCCGCGGGAGCTTCATTTTCCCCCTAGCCCAACCCTACCCCCACACTAGCTTCAAGAATGAAGTCATCTACCTAGAGTCAAACTTGCCAAAAAATCTCACCCAAAAGAAGGCCTCCACAATGAACTCCAAATCCAACCACAAGTGGCACGTTTTCACCGCTTTCGACGACGCGCGCACGGTAAACTCAGCAGGCGCGAGTGTAGACGATTCCTACACCGTGGAGATCTGTATGACCGAGCTGGACCCCACCCTCGCCCAGAACTTCTTCCGATTCGACGGAGGGAAACTAAACGGGGACTCGGCCGGGAGAGAGATGACGAGGGCCTCCGGGATTTGGAAAATTAACGAAAACGCCCTCATTTGCGATTACGCGTTCGACCCTTGCGGGTACTCGATGAACGGGCTCGACCTCGACCGCTACTCGACGATACACGTGACTCCCGAGGACGGGTTCAGCTACGCGAGCTTCGAGTGCGTGGGGTCCACGCGCGACGGGAGGGGAACGATTCTCGAGGTTTTGAAGAGAGTGATTGGGGTTTTTGGGCCCGGAAAGGTCTCGGTTTCGACGACGGTGGGGCCCGCGGTTAGGAATAGGGTGTGGAGGGGTATGGCGAGGGCGGTCCAGCCTCTAGGGATGCGGCTGACGAGTTGCACGGCAGGCGAGTTCCCGAGCGCCGGGAGCGTCGTTTTTCAGACATTCGTGGCCGACCGGAAGTGAGGCGGCCGGCGGAGGAACGGTGGTGGAGGTGGTGGAGATGGCAATTAGTGGACTTTTTCTTTGGTGTTAGA